TAGGTATCCGGGGCCCTGCAAAAAAAAAAAAAAAAAAAAAATCTATCACTTTGGTCCCAATACTTCAATGTTGAAAATGTAAAATATTATTTTATCGAGATGCAAAGCTGTCTCCAACAGTTCACTTCACAGCGGCGATCTGTGATCTCCCCGGCGATCTCTTTGCAGTCCCTTATCAACGTGAGTCATCTTCTTCTTACGCCATGTAGAAAATTGTTTCGAAATGCCAACAAAGGCTCAACAGCATCCCAGAACACAGGGCCTATTCTATTACAAACGTTTACATTTTCCAGAGCGTGAACAACACAACTCACGATGAGTCTTTTCAGTCATGCTTTTGCTTCTGCTTCTTGCTACCTTCAGAACACTCTGCAGAGCTGCAAAAATTAAGCTCAAGGGAAGCACATGGAGGAGGTCTGTGTATTTGATGTACTTGTACAGAATGCGGATGCGTGAGTGAATGTAGGTGGCACTTTTTCAGATTTCTATTTCGGCACATGATTTATTGCGTGCGCTTCCTTTGGATCTCTTTCTGAGCAAGCATTTGTCCACAGTCTTTGCCTCTGCGCTTGAGGATGTATTGATTGCTATGTACTGAAAAGGAGAATTTCACTCTTCTCCTTGATTCTACTCGAATTACACGTTCTCATTGACTTGTCCGTTCCTATCGGGATTTAGTATTTTGAGTCATGTCAATGGTCAGACCTTGTTGGTTTATCAAACCAATCCAGTTTCTGTTGCCAGTTCCGTGTGAAGGGCTTAATCAAACGTCAAAAGGTCAGTCAGTGTGTTTCTATGCATTTTGTATGAGTTGAGGTCATAAAGCGCGGGGCCCTTCACAAGGGCAGCTCAGGTCAGTTCACCTCCAAATCAGGCTGTTTCATTACAGGTTGACAGCTCTGCAACTCAGCGTGAATGTAATACTCCGTCAGCCACTGAAGGAGAGATGGCCATAAACATTATTTATGGAAGGGTTTTAAAAAAATCAGTTCTAAGATCGATACAAGAAATGAAGGAGCACAAGCTTATTTTCTTGATATCTTTTTAACGTCTTCAATTGGGTGTTTTGTTCATTTGTGATTCATGTAATTGATATTGCGATCTCTTTTAGTGACATATAATTCTTCATTCCAATTAGCATATTTTCAAAACCAATTACGACGATGACTGAAAACCAGTTGTTTTAAACAGCTCGCTGAAAGCAGCTGTCCTGCGACATGCCAACAGATGGTTGAGCTATATTGGTGGTTGAACGTTGCGCTTTCAAATTTTGTTCTAAAAACAGAACCAATTAAAGTGTGTACGGTTTAGGATCCAAAAGCAGAGAGGAAAGGCAGTATTACACTCAGAACAATATGTTTCTCAAAAGAACAAAAAAGGCAACAATGCCCCCCCCCCCCAAAAAAAAACCTCAAAGTTGTAAACCAATAACTAGAAATACACTCACAGGTAGAACGACTGGGAACTAAATCCCAAAAAACGGAGGAGACAAAGAGGAACACTTGGACAACACACAAGTGCCTGAAGGAGTTGAAAGGTTGACCCAAGGGGGCTGGGCTGACAAGCACAGATGAACGCGATAACCTTACGACACACACCACACAAGGAAAGCATGACAAAACTAAAATCTTATCAAAACCAAAATGCACAAAAATCTGAAAACGTAAGAAGCAGATTCACTTGCTCACCACCACTCAGTGGTACCGGAACCAACATATCAAATTCGGTTAGTGAACCTCGACACTGTGTGGGGCAATTTAAAAGACGTCATATTAGTAATAATAATAATCCAAATTTAATGAGCATCATTTATTATCAGTGGGCAGTTACTCGAAAGGTCAGTCAACAGGTTTTCCAAGAATGCTGGGGGACGATATCAACAAGTTGAAACGAGGTCATTTCCCCCTGCTCAGCTGCAGGCGCATGAATGACCTGCAGTCAAAGCCCATCTGGCCTTGTGCAAAAGCTCTTTAATCAGACGTCATTTCCATACTAAATCTGAAACTCAGCTTCTTGGTGCAAGCAGATGTCTATCTGAAGGTTCACAAGTCTTTCTATATCTCACAAATCCATTCCGCAATATTTTGTCGCATCTTTAGAAACTTATTTAAGGGTCCAACTTCCTAAAGCGGTAAATATGCACTATTAGGGAACGTCAAATTTGACAAAACTAGTCCTGGTGGTTAAAGTGGTTGATTTGCATTATTTATAGCTCCCTGGCAAAGATGGGGTCCAACTGAAAACCCGCCGATCGCCACCAAATAAAGTACTCCCTAAATAATGTGAACCACTTAATTGCGGTCCATGTGACTAAACTAGTGCACCAAGGGACCACCGTTAGAAACAAACTCCTTTCGTCTAATCCACTCCACAGAAGGCTGTGTTTTATTCATCCCCGCATCAGTTCAACAATCTTCTACTGCCTTTCGCACAGCAGAAATATGCTCAAGAAATATGTCCAAGATAAAACATCACTGGGAGGACGATCCCCAACATCGGAAATAATTCATTGACAAGGCTGATGCTCGTACAACTGACACTCTGGTAGCAATGCCAGTACTTGTGTGTTTTGAGTGGTTCTCGCAGGTCTGTTTGTGTATCGATATTATTTGTAGAGGGGATGGCCAGACATCCTCGACGAATTGGTGAAGATGAATGAATCCTCAAGCGTCCCTTCCAATAAACAATCAGTTCTGTGTCATTAAAGTTCAATTTGTTGTTTTTTTCATTTTAGAATATTCTGTTTTAGTTTCGCCGATATTGAAGCTGACGCGGAGAAGTCAATCCAGGGGAAGCAAATAGGAGCGTTTGTTAATCCTGTTTTAATTGACGGAAGTTCTTATGAAATCCTTGGTATTAAATGGACAGAGGGGCACAGCTATTTTGAATGGATGCAAAAACAATGTAGTTAAACATATAATTTTTCTTCATTTTAGCCATTCTTAACAGTTCCGGGGTGTCTGAATTAAAGCTGATAACACGCAAAGGACAAAGCACTACAGCACATTTAACAGGCACTCGTGACACTTGAAAGCACTCGGTTGTTTGCGTGTGCTTGCTTGTTCTGTAATAAGTGAGCCCCCATAAAGACTAATTAGTGACATCATTTGTATTTTTATTCATGGAGGCAGCTACTGACTTACACTTTGCAATTTGTGTGCTGATATGTGCTCGTCACGGATGCAGCCGACGCACGGTCAAGCACAAATGCTCACTGCCCGCCCAGCCACAACTTTGCAGGCTGGCGCATCGTTTTCCTTGATCAGTCGTACAATGGTGGAGTTGTCAGCAAATTTGACGATCACGCTGCTGGGGGGAATTGTCACGTGTGCTGAGGAAGGCTGCTAATCAGGTACAGATTGAGGTTCCGAGGGCCAGTTTGCTAAATTCTTTGACTAGTTTGTGGTGGTGAATTGTTATAAATGCATCTTAAGAACACAAACAGCATTTCGTGGTGAATTTTTTGTTCAATTTTAATAAAGGTTAATGATTGATTTTCCTCTACTAATCATTCCAAGTGTAATCGGTCCGATCTGATCCTGGCTAAAAAGGCGATATCTCGTGATGGGTAATGATGAGGCTGAGAAAGAAATTCTCTGGTCAGCCACAAGGCGCGTTTATTTTCTCTCGCAGCAGTCTGTGTATACACACAAATCAGTGCAGCAACCTTTTTAGCAAAATACACGCGCACCTCTCACGCAGCAAGCTCACCAACTACTGACGAGATCAGTGCAAAAAGAGAAGAAGTGATGTCATGAGACGAAGTCAAAGGTCACGCAATTGAAATGAACAAAATAAAATTCATGACATGAAGACTCACCATAAAAATAACAGTCATAAAAGCAAATACAAAAATCATAATCAAACACAAAATGCAAATGAAAAAGTAATTGTGGGTGAAACTAAATTGGAAAAAAATATATACATATACACATCAGTTGCACATGTACAAGATGTAGTAATTATGGTCATTGCGCCATTTTAAGAAAGAAAACGGCGACTGTTTAAAAGCTGAAATTGAACCAGTCATTCAATGCGCAGTTATTAAATAAATTTTGTTTAAAAATCCTTTCAAAAAATCAAATTTGTCTGTGGAAGCTGCTGTTATCCAGTCACATTGTGTCTCAGGTTTGAAGTAAATCAACTTTTTGAGGCTGCAGAGTCAAGGCAGAAAAGCCTCAGCTATACTCTGAGACTTGATGGATGGCTTAGCATGAACACACACACACACACACACACACACACACACACACACACACACACACACACACACACACACACACACACACACACACACACACACTAGCTTTGCTCTCTCACAGAGTCACACACATGTGCACCAGTATTAAACAGCTGTGGTTCAGCCAGAGGACAGCAGAGTTATTTGGGAAAGATGGCGAGAAAGAGATGGAGGGCAGGTTTGAAAAGAGTCAGAAAATAAAGGAGGAAGAGCAGCTTTTCCCAAACGTTAAACACTTTCTGGCAAGGCAGACTAATGACGTCTCTCTCAGCTCCACGACACCCTCCTCGTCAGAAAGGAGTGAAGAAGAGTGAACATTTGAGAGCTTCTGCATTCTTCATGGACATGGAAGGTAAACAGAGCAATTCCGTTGTGTTCGACACAACGGAATTAATGTACGTTATTTATTCTTTCTGTGCGGACCGGTACTGGTCCGCGGACCGGGGTTTGGAGGCTGCTGTGGTCAATGGTTGACCATGTTATCTTGATGCTAATATCACAGACTTGCCAGGCTGGTGCGCATTTGTATGAACGCTAAAATAAACAATCCAGGCTCATTATCGCCGTACAAGACACACTGCTTTTATTGAAGGCAGTCTACCCAGATGAAACTGAAGCATTTTCTTCAATTAAATTTGAAGATCTACATTTAGTTTATTTACTTACTCTGTGATTGAGACACAAAAATGAACAAAAGGCAGACATCCACAAAATTACCAAAATTCCGTGTCAGCCAAGCACTTAACAACAACTCAACCAAATAAAATGGCTTGTGCTCGAACAAATGCTTGAGTCGTTCTTCATCTGACAGTGTAGGGAGATATAGAGCTACATCAGACAATTTACAAAATCTCTGTCTCCTCAAATTATGATAAAAAGGACAATAAAACAAAATATGCACTTCTTTTTCAATATCATTTGATGGATGAACATCGGGTAGGATATTACTTTGCTTCATTTACTGGCACTTCCTCATTTGTCAGTCAGAGAGCTTCTTTGGTTGCCTACATTCCGTCACGTCACAGTTTGCAGAGTCAACTAGCTCAGGAGAGTTCAGCTTCCTCTACACACACACACACACACACACACACACACACACACACACACACACACACACACACGTTCACACACACACACAAAGATTTTTGGTGGTAAATATTGTACACGTTCATTACTTAACATTGACGGCACAACAAATGCACTCTTGACACACCTCACGGATAAGGATAATTTTATCAGACAAGATTGTCGCGTGTTTGAATATCCTTGGTCAGAAAGGGGCTAAAAAACAAGAGTTCAACATGGGATGTGTGGAAGCCGATCAGCTGTCAGCAAAAGCTTTTAAACTACAATGAGTGTACTGCAGAGTTCAATGTTAGGCGTAGAGGTGTAATGCATGAATCTTGATCAAATTCAAAACTGTTCAATCTCAGAGGCTTTCAACTTTGTAAATATATACAGTGTAACCGAGAGTTGTTTAACATAAATGTCAGCTGTCGTTTTTTTTCACCAGAAACAAAAGAGAATCCATGGGCGGCAAAATGAGAAGTAGAAAAGGAAAGTGAAGCCAAATGGAGAAAGAAGGGAGTTGCAGACAGCTAACAAGTTCTGATAAAAATTTGGAGACGGATAAAGTGGATGTGAAGTTTGCATCTACCCTCACCCCACACCACCCACATCTCCAAAGCTCTTTCATGCCTCAATTGTCTCTACCCCGGGGGCTCTTATGATCTGTTCGTTTCACCAGCCTCATGTCATTTTCCCTCCTTCTTTTCTCACCTCCTCTTCGCACAGCACAAGCTCTTCTCTTGCCATACGGCCGAGATAGCTGTCTCCTTCAGACCGTTTGCCTCGTGCAACCCATAACACACTCTTGCGGCCATTGTGTCTCTTACCAAACAAGTTAATAGTCAATTTCATATTGTTTGATGAACTCTGAATGTTAAAACGCGAGGAGAATCATTTAGAACACCCATAATGAAAGAAGAGCGGCCTGGTGGTCAACTGGTTAGTGCGTCTGCCTCATCGTGTAGAGGTGCAGGGTTCGATTCCGGCTCTGGCCTTCCTGTGTGGAGTTTCCATGTTCTCCCTGTGCCTACGTGGGTTTTCTCTGGGTACTCCGGTTTCCTCCCACATTCCAAAAACATGCATGGCAGGTTAATGGAACATTCTAAATTGTCCCTAGGTGTTAAGGTGAGCATGGATGGTTGTTTCTTGTCAGCCTGCAATTGGCTGGCAACCAGTTCAGGATGTCCCCCGCCTGTTGCCCAAAGTCAGCTGAGATAGGCTTCAGCGACCCTTGTGAGGGTAAGATGATCAGAGAATGGATGGAAAATGAAAGAGTAAATTGAAGTTGACATCACTTAATTTTGATTAATATTTTCAATTGTAAGAGCTGTTCGACTTATGAGCATGTGTTTTATTGATTTCCTTAACAAAACATAACTGCTGTCCCGAAGAAACAAACAACAACAACAAATGGTTTGTGTAAATGTTATTGATGTGGCAGACAACACAAGGCATCATTTTCTTTCAGCTGCGTGTTACCCCCTGTACAATGAGCTCAACTCACGCCTGTTATAGAGGTTATTTTTATCAAGTGGGAAAATCTGCAGTGCCATTTCATTCCGAGCAGACGATAAGCAGCACGGCGCCAGCATGAAAGTCTGTCAACTGTGGAAGTGAGTTGGGTTTTTAGAAACACTTCACTCTTCCTAATTGGTATCGCACCTTCCTCTTGCTTGTCCGACTCTCATCAGGTAATCAATCGACAGTGGCTGGAAAAAAAAAAATGCTCCATGTTAATTAATAGATTTTTTTTAATCTAAAAGTGTTGAGCTCGCGGGTGTCTCACTTTCTCGCACCTCTCAGCCTCTGTGTTGCTGTTCCAAGATGTGAGAGTGAGATCTTCAAGCCGAAATGGAAGGTTCAAAAAGGATGGATGCTATCTTCCTTTCGTGAAGTGAGTTTGTGAGTTGGTGTTGTAGTTGATATTGTCACTTATCCAGCATTCTCCTAAAAATAAATGAAAAAAGGATCACGGGTGGAGAGATTAAGACAAGTGTGAGGACCCTGAGTGTGGGCACTTGGATTCAGCTTCGAAATGAACTACTAATGTAACATAACGTAACATGGGAATGATTTAAATCCGTCATTCCATTGAATCTCTTATTACAGTTCCTGGACTTCACCACGTCCAGTTTTCCTTTCAGCGAAATGAGCAAACTCCTCGGCTTGATTGTGTCATGCCTGAGGATTTGTGAAGATTCCATATTCATGAACGACAAACATAATGTATCTTTCTTTGGCACAAATCTAGCAGCGCCACAAGAAAAATTAAATTGTTCACTCCATGTTTCGGTACACACGTATCATATGTATGGACTGGCTGGGGCAACCAAAAGGAGAAGTTGCCTAAGTGGTGCCCTTGAGCAAAGTCTCTGGCCTGCTCCCTGAGCACTATATGAGTTACCCCGGCTGCTCCAGTGTGTGTATTTGCTCTAATCATTACTACATTGAGAGAATGCTTGTCAATTCTCACAACAAAATGTATGCTTCGATGTGTGATCGATATCTCTCTTCCTTTTTTTGAAACGGAATCACTCATGAATATGGGTTTAATCCTAATCCAACCACATTTCCTCCAAAAAAAAAAAAAAAAGTGTTCCCATACATAGAGGCCAAAAGGCATGAAAAAAAACTTGCATCACCCCGAAACACACACCTCTTTAAAACACACACACACGCACACACACACACACAAACACGTGTGTGTGTGTGTACATATATATATATGTATATATATATATATATATAATAGCGATGCTATTTGAAGCCAATCTATTTGCCGTGATGGGCTTTTTTTTAAGTGGTTACCATGGTGAAAATTAGCAAACTAAACCGCCTGCGTTGATTACCCTTTCAGAGATATGGGGGGGATACAAATAGCAGTAGTTAATCTTGTTTAGAGCACACAAATTCATTGTGACAGCTCAGCTGCTTCAACCCCGCAGTCTTTCCCAGAGTAAATTGAACTGACTGATTGTAAGAGAGAAAAATAAAAAAGAAGAAGGCAACCACTACAAACCATAAAATAAATAAATGCAGGAGGGTTTGTGTGTGCTAGGAAATACAATAAAAGTAAGTTTGGGGCCTTGCTTAAATTGAATTTAAATGGCGTGCTGTAGTCTGAAAGCAACCAGATGAATTAAACTTTTAGTGTGGAAAGGAGAACCGGTGATTTGTATGCATATACAGTACATGACTTTGCCAACAAAATGTCTCATTGTGAAGGTATCTTTCGGGGCATTTTAGCCACTGCATTTTTCATCATCAGCCAATAAACATACAGAGAGATGTTGAATCCATTAAAAGCCACTCTAAGTGCACAGCAAAGTGGACAAAACAAACACACTCAGCGCCCTACAGTACTGGATATGCAGCACAGGCGGTTTTACAGAGTGGTAAGGGGTGGCAGCTACCCTTACCAAATGCCTTGACACCCAGTAGCTACCCCTAGCTATTGGCATGGAATCCGTCAATATGAAATTTATTCATTCATTTTCCGATCCGCTTTATTCTCACAAGGGTCGCGGGGAGTGCTAGAGCCTATCCCAGCCGTCTTCGGGCAGTAGGCCGGGGACACCCTGAAACGGTTGCCAGCCAATCACAGGGCACACAGAGACGAACAATCATCCGCGCTCACACTCACAACTAGGGACAATTTAGAGTGTTCAATCAGCCTGCCATGCATGTTTTTTGGAATGTGGGAGGAAACCGGAGAACCCGGAGAAAACCCACGCAGGCACGGGGAGAACATGCAAACTCCACCCAGGGAGGCTGGAGCTGAGATTGAACCCGGTACCTCTGCACTGTGAGGTCAATGCGCTAACGGCTAACCACTGGACCACCGGGCCGCCTCAATATCAAATTCCAATTTTTATTCTAAATGTTCCTTATATTATTTCCATAATGTGCATAAAAAGTGTGCCCAGAATGTACTCCCCTTCTTTAAATAAGAAATGGTTATGTCTTTCACGCCACCAGTTGAGCTCCTGACACCACGTGACTGATCCCCGCTTGTATCTGTTCACGCTGGCAGGATAGAAGAAGTGGTAGGCGAAGGCTTTTACAATGGAGTGCAGTGATAACATTTGCATTCATCCATCAACATTCCCTCCAAGTGAATTCACATCTCACTTTCATGAAAAGGACATAATGAGATACATGTGCAAACAGGTTGCATATCACGAGATCTCTCACAACGGAAGATATGGAGAACGACAATGGTGAGTCCTTACGGTCATACAAGGTCGGAAGGGTCCACGTTTAGATTACTTCATCTTTCGCTGAAAGGCCTGCCTCAGGCTCACGAGCTCAGTATATATATATATGTGTGTGTGTGTGTTGGCAAATATGTGTCTTGAAGAAGAAAAATTTGACCAGAGTGCTTCGAGGTCATACTTTTTATGCTTCATGAGGGATATTTTTGAGTCTCAAATCCAATGAGAAATAAAAAAAAAAAAAAAAAACAAGAACAGTCAAAAGGAAACACTTAAAAACAGTAAATACAGACTCTTGTCATGCCTCGTCTCATCTTTTATTCAGCATATTTTGCTCATCTGTCAAACTAGTGGCCACTGCAGTGGTAGTACATTCATAATATCACGCATCAGTACTGTTTTTCAAGAAGTAGATGGGATGTTCCAAAAGAAATATTGCTTTTATACAAATGATTTATGTTGATATTTTTGGCACGTTTCAAATGCATCGTTAGAATTTGGCATCAAAAGTTGGCGGAGTAAGGGAGAAAAAGAACATCCACTGCGACTTTAATAACCTCAAGAAAAAAAACAGTAAAGAACATGTATTGTGTGACTTGTGTGACCATAATGATTCTTTAGGTCGCAAAGGTTCATTCACTGGGGGGGGGGACAAGTGTTTAAGTGTGTAAGTAATATAAAGTTAAAGTGGATCTGGTGCCTTTGTAAGGAAGCAAAGTGTCTTGGGAGAGTGCACCAAAGGTATTCAAGCAGAAAAGAGCACATAACAAAAAGAGATCTC